GGGAGTTCATTCCAAAGGGTCGGAGCAGCCACAGAGAAGGCTCTCCTCCGGGTAGTCACCAGTCGGCATTGGCTGGCGGATGGAATTTGGGGGAGGCCTAATCTGGGGGGTCTCATCGGTCTATTGGAGGTAATTGGCAGCAGGCGGTCTCTCAAGTACCCAGGTCCAATACCACGAAGGGCTTTATAATTTATTTATAAGCCGCCCAATCCCGGAGGACTCCGGGCGGCTTAGGGTTAGGGTTAGGGTTAGAGATGGGACACCATCCAGGAAGAGAACTACACTTGCTGAACATAAACAGATTTCCCTTCTAAGGGAGAGTTATTTCTGAGCCGAGGTGGTGCAGTGGTTAGAGTGCGGTACTGCAGGCTACTTCAGCTGACTGCTAGCTGCAGATCAGCAGTTCAAATCTCACCAGCTGATGGTTGACTGGGCCTTCCATCCCTCCAAGGTGGGTAAAATGAGGACCCAGATTGTTGGGGGCAAAAGGCTGATTCTGTTATCCGCTCAGAGCGGGCTGTAAAGCATTGTGAAGCGGTATAGAAGTCTTAAGGGTAATTGCTATGGCTATTTCGTTTCAAGCAGGCTTTATCTTGGTGTCGCTGGAGAGGGCAAAGCCTTCCGAAGCACCAGGCTTGATGGAGTCTGAGTATTCCCAGCTCTGTCTTTCTTCTTCTTCTTCTCCTCCTCCTCCTCCTCCTCCTCCTTTCCCCTCTGCAGAGGGTGTGCCCAGCAAGTGGGGCCTGGTGCTGCAACGCCTCTCGGTGCTGGGGAAGAGCTTCTCAGACATCCTCGGCTGCATCCGAGTCTTTCTCCTCCGCCTGCTGGAGCTGCACGTTTTGAAGTTGGTGGCTCTGTACATCATCTGGGTTGCTTTGCAGGAGGTGAGTCCCCCGGACAGTGGCTGAACCCGGGGGGGGGGGGGGAGGGAGCTGCTGACGGCCAAGGGAGGGGCTTGATTTAGGCAAGGGAGCCACCCGGGTATCCAACCATTTGGCCTTTAAAGTGGCAGATCAGAAAGCCACCGGCGGCTGCGAGATGGAGGAGATGCAGCCTGCAAAACAGTTCCTCCCAGGAATTTTAACGCCTGCAGAATTTTGTCCCTCTCGGACAGTGTTTCTCAACCTTGGCCACTTGAAGATGTCCGGACTTCAACTCCCAGAATTCCCCAGCCAGCGAATGCTGGCTGGGGAATTCTGGGAGTTGAAGTCCAGACATCTTCAAGTGGCCAAGGTTGAGAAACACTGCTCTAGGAATCTTCAAGCTATCTCCATACAAACCACAATTTGCCCATGGAGGGAGGGAGTAGCAAAGGATCTGCTTTGGCCCACAGGGGTGGTAACTGTTGTGGGCAAAGGTGTGGGCCATGCAGGGCCCCAAGTCACCTGTGAGGCTGCAGGAGTCTTACCTGGACACATCCTTCAGCACCTGGCCCTTTTCTGCCCCGTGGGGCACTCTGCTTTTTAAGATTAAAGGAACTCGTGAGGATGCCGGCCTCCCCTGCACAACTCCAGCTGTTGTGTGCCTCCTCTCCCCCTCCCCCCTCTCTGCAGGTGTCGGTGATGAACCTGCTGCTGGTGGTGCTGTGGGCCTTCGCGGTGCCCTACAGCCGCTTCCGCCACATGGCCTCCTGCCTCTCCACCATCTGGGCCTGCATCATCGTTGTCTGCAAGATGCTGTACCAGTTGAAGATCGTCAACCCGGAAGACTACGACAAAAACTGCAGCTTGGTACATGCTCCCCCACACACACACACCTTAGAGCGTGGGAAACAGTCCCAGAAACAGACAGGGAAACGGGGTTGGGGGAATGGTGGTCTCCAGGGAAATGCTGGCTGATGATCAGACCAAGAGTTTATACTCCATCCTGACCGCCTGGGAAGAATTGTGGATTCTGTTGAAGGGTTGCATTACAGTGTAATCCCTTTTCCCCCCTCTAGCCGCTGCTGAATGAGACCAACCTCCAGCCAGAGGAGATCGGCAACTCTACCCTCTACCAAGGTCCTGTTGACCCAGCAAATTGGTTTGGGATTCGCAAAGGATACCCCAGCCTGGGCTACATCCAGGTGCGCAGAAGCTGTCCTCTCTTTAGCAGGTCCCGCCAGCCCTGAAGGAAGTTGTAGTCCGTCATACTATCTGGAAGGGAATCTCTATGATATTAAGGCAAGGTGGTCTCTATCTCCCCTGTCCTTGGCTCATCTTCCTCTTCCTCTTCAGAACCACCTGCAGGTCCTGGTCCTGCTGGTTTTTGAAGCGGTGGTGTATCGATGCCAGGAATACTATCGCAAGAAGCACCAGCTGGTGCCTCCACTCACCCAGACCGTCTTTGAAGATGCAACACGCCAGAACCTTGACCAAGGCTTGCTGAACTGCATCAAGTACTTCATCAACTACTTCTTCTACAAGTTTGGCCTTGAGGTGAGCTGGATGCTGCTGGCTGGGCTGAAGAGGAGATGCTACTTAAGTCGCGTAGAATGAAGAAGTCAAAAGTTTGGCCAGTATGATTGTCAGGGTTCCAAATAGCATCCAAAAGTAAATCAGAGTCCGAGGCAAAGGATTCCTCAAAAGTCCCAATTTATGAAGAGAGCCACGTTGGCACATTTGGGAAAAGCTTAAATCTGAAAGTTTTCAGGTTTTCCCACCCAGTTGAAAGTTCAAGATCTTGCCCCCCCACACCCACAAGTCCATCCCATGGTCCACTCTTCCCCTGCCACACTGGCAGCTTCCACCCATCCAGTTCCGGCCAGGTGTAGAGACAGAGGATGACCTTGGCTTTCTAGAAAGAACGTTGTTATGGCTACGTATCACCCAACTCGGTACAATCCCTCCTCCCATTTTCCCACAATAGAAAATGCAAAATAGAATAATAGAAAGTGTGGCAGGCCTAAAGTCCAAAAAGGAAAAAGATGGTTTTCAGGCCTGGCAATGCTAAGGCACCAGGAGTGTCTGGAGCAAAAATATGAAGGCATGTGAAAAAGGGGTGGAGCTTTTGCAGTAATGAATAAAAGAAAGAGGTGTGGTATTTGGCCAAAGCTTCTTAAGTCTTGGAAGAACCCTTGATGCCAGAGCAGAGATTTCTCGTCCATCTCCCAAGATGCCACCAGACCAAAGGTTTCTTTCCCTTCTCTTTCCTCAGATTTGCTTCCTAGTGACAGTCAACGTGATTGGCCAGCGCATGAACTTCATGGTGATCTTCCACGGATGCTGGTTGGTTGTCATCCTGACCCGGAGGCGGCGTCAGGCCATTGCCAAGCTCTGGTCCAAGTACTGCCTCTTCCTGGCTCTCTTCTTCATCTTCCAGTACCTTCTCTGCGTTGGGATTCCTCCAGTTCTCTGCATTGGTGAGACTCCAACCTAATGAGGGAGCCAAGCATTGCTGCAGCCTTCCTTCCGAGTAGAGCCAGTGCTTGGCGCGTCCTTTCTGCTCCTCCTCCTCCCATCCTCGTTGAGGGAGGTAATTGCAAGGTGTTTCTGTAAAAGGCCCAACCCCAGAGAGAGCAACCAACCGTGTGAGTTGAGTTGAGTTGAGTTTATTGATCTTGTATGCC